AAAATGGAATAACTTTTACCGGATTTCTGTATAAGGTATATCTGAGTTTAAAATTCAGAATTTAATTTCACCCTTCTAAATAACATTGCTTGACTACAGAACTTTAGCGACTATTCAATTATCAGTGTGAAATGAACACAGATATTCTTTTTTTCATTCCTTCGCTTTTTCAGTGAGTTTTAAAGCTCCTTTACCAGTGGGGGTTTTCCACACGATGGGTTTGCTGACATCATTTGTATTGGCTCCGACCACATGTGTGGTTGACGAACGTTTGGTCACTTTAAATGTATTTAATAGATATATCAAACAACAATCGTTTAGAAATAGGCAGATGGTTTGCTATAGAATTTTCTGCTTCTGAATTGACCAATGAATCAAATTGAAGGATTTGTATTCAACTTTCAAATAATTTTATTTTTGATTACAGCTTGATTCCACACCATACTTTTGGTACAGGTATGGAATTTTCAGCATGTGATATCGGTAACCCAAATTTTGTAGGCTGACCATAGATATCAGGTGTGGGTCAGCAGGGGATCGAACCTCGGACCATGTGCATGGTCGGCGAGAGTCCTAACCACTGTTCCACCGACGCATTAGTATTGTATCATTCTCATTGCACATATGAGATGCTGATATGATGAGCAAAGATTCAGTGGCCAATTTCGGCTTAACCTCAACTAGATTAGCCTTTAGGCATGTAGCTCCGCTAGTCTCACATTGTGATTACTTTTTAATGCATGCACTACAACAACTGGGTGTTTTTCTGAGTTAGCTATTTTTCTGGAGTTGTCATTCTACATTTAGCTAAGTTACTAAACTCTGAAAAATTAAGTTACCCATATTGTCTACATTGTACTTTGAACTTGATATCACGTTAGTAGTAAGGTATTTGTTAGACAAGGTTACTTATCTGACTATAAAAAGAGAATCTTCGATTCTATAAAATTTCAGCCTCAATTTACTCGTAGTGGGTTTAAATGTCACCTGGATTTTGAATCTATTAAGAATTCTATGTAGGATTTCGTAAGACTGAAATTCCTTTTCTTTTTCTTTTTGATTTCAGCTTTATTCCACACTGTATTTTTAATACATGTATGGAATTTTCAGCATGGATATCGGTAGCCCAAGTTTTGCAGGTCGATCATAGATATCAGGTGTGCGTCGACAGGGGATCGAACCTCAGATCACATGCATGGTCGGCGAGCATTCTACCACTGTGCCACCGACTCACATCTGTAGATGGTTTTGAAAACAAGTATGTCATACTATAAAACGAGACAGAAGTAGATGTCAAATTACGTATCAAAACTATTCAAGATAACCAGTTCAGATATACCGCTTTCGTATGAGAATTTGGAAGTAAACTGTAATGACATCTCTTTTATGCGAATGTTGAAACTGATGCAATAATTTATGATTTGAACTGTTATATAAATCTTGAGTCTACACCTTGTTTCCTGAACAGATAAAATATGACTAACTGAAACGTCAAATTTATTATATTATTGTTTCCTTGGGTTTCCAGTGGAACATAGGGCTTTAACTGCGGGTCTCCACTTGCTTCTGTCTTCCTTCTGCTGTACTTTTCATCTGTATCCATGAAAAGTCAAATGAATTTTATTTACCTGTTGAGTCGGTAGTTCAGAGCTAGAATACTCGCCAACCACACCTGTGGTATAGGGTTTGCTCCCCAGCAAACTCACACCTTAACCTCGTTTAGCCGGTAATGGGCTCAGTAAAGAGGAAAGGTTAAGGATGAGGCTAGAAAAAAAAATAACATTACATGCTAATGAAACTTCAAATCTCAAGCTTGAAGCCCTATGTTGCATTGGGAAGGCAAGTAAAAAATAATTTCAAAATTAGCTAACTTACATCTATAGTGTGATTAAAAAGTTATTTAAACTGAAAGTTGTTTTCAACGATCAGATTGAAAGTTCCCAGGAAAGAGTTAAACAAACGGTTTATAAGTTTAACTCAAAATAAAAGAAAGATTTTATTACAAGTTGATTGAGATTGCATATATATATATATATGAAAAATTCTTTGATAAAGACTTTCGGCTGAATGGTCATTTGATTACCTACTTACGGAATGAATCATTTGTAAGTGTTAACACCTTAAAAATGAAAAATAAACACCCAGAAGGTCCTGAGTTCGAACCCCAGCGGATGCGTACTGCTGAATAGTCCCAAACTAGGATGAAACAGCTGTCCAGTACTCCCAGGTTTTCCAGTGGTTCTCTAACCAATGTCAGCTCATGATGAAATCCTATAACCCATCAACGAAATCCCTACAAACCAATACTTGAATGAAGGTTTCATTGTTAAGTTAGGTTTTTCAGTCTCAACTACTTATACTGACGCACGTCTGATTTTCTCATGAATCATATGCATCCTTTAAATCTTACTTCCGTATTCTAGCGCATGATCAGTGCTCTAGAATATCTAGAATGCTTTCAATTATGATATAACAGAAATAATTCAAGATCGAAAGGCTTATCCAGTTTTCTATTCTACATAGATGTTCTTGACAGAAAAGATAAACAAGTAACACAATATTTAGGTGTTTTGTGTTGACTTATTTGTCATTTCATATGAGTGAATTGAAGCAATGGTTCTTACTGGCTATATTGTTTACAAAACCCTAAGGAAAATATTCACTTACTGAATTAGCACAATCAGTTAATCCTGAAAGCTTGTTTAACCGCCATTCTTAAGTGTTTCTATCCGTCTTGAAGACAAGTTAATAGTCAGTCGCACAATCTGAAACCTGGTCAACTATCCTATTTTCGTGATAGTGAAAATTATCCAATGGCTAAAGTGTCCTTGAAATAATCACAATAGTCACTCGTGATACAACTGCAGAGTTCTCATAAAAATTACTGTCATCGAGTAAAACTGACACCTGCTTATCGTTTGTATGTTCAGATGTTGTACACAGAGTTACTGTAAACTAGTGTCTTAGCGATCGAAGTCATAATAATGTCGTTTCTATATTTGGCTTTTATGCTGGCAACATTTTTCCATCTGTTTAAATTTGACGTTTAGTTATGACAGTATTCCTTATGTCTGTGAACTAGATGGGGAAAACCTGTCTTGTGAAAATACAGTTAGCTGTCTATTTTGCCTTCTAGAAATAGACTGTTTTAGATAATTGTAGATTTATCAGAATACATCAAACGCAGTTATCACACCTATAAATTAGAATTCCAGTTAAAGAATTACTTTGGTGTTTTTTATATTCTTTATGCACAAGTGAATTGTCTTAAAATCTCAAAGAGAAACAAATATTATTGCCTTCAGTGCTAACTAAATACCCAGGGGATAAAACGAAAAATCTTGTATTTTTACGCACTTATGCGTATGTGATTAAATAATTTGACATCCAGATAGTGAATTCAGTAACTAGGCGACTAATGTTGTTAGGCTGTTTTTTTAAATAAGCGTTATTTTTCAGCAAATAAAAGTAGTCCACGGGAAGTAATCACAAATGTATCTTTACAGGTACTTTTACCATGCTACTAACTTTTACATCTTGTTTAATGATCATACTGTAGTTGCAGGAAAATGACTTCGCTCCACGCCCCATGAATGTCAGATCGCCATATCTGTTGAACTTCAAGAATTATTATATAATTTTTTTTTATTATAGCTTGACTCCTGACAGTATTTTTGATACAAGTATGGAATTTTCAGCATATGATATCGGTAGCCCAAATTTAGCAGGCCGACCACTGATATCGGGTGTGTGTCGGCCAGGGGTCGAACCCTGGACCATGTGCGTGGTCGACGAGCCTCCTAACTGCTGTGCCACCGACGCATATGCAGAAACATAACAGAGTAATGGAAAAATAATTCAACTGGAATTTGAGAGGAATAACAAATACATACTGACACAGTATGGCGGGAGTTATAGAAACAACATTTGCAGTAGAAAAATCTACAAACATTGTAGAAAACCCATTTTGAATTGAAAGTCATATATTGGTAATAAGAACGGGTTTAAGACTGAGAAGATATTCTTTCCTGAAATTTTTAATGGGACATTTATTAACTGGTCTAGAAAAGCAAAGCATTACTGTTACACAAAGGGGCTGGAAAATAAGTTTTTCTCCACTTCGATACAATGAGGTATCTATAATTGTTCATAGCATAATGTAAATATGTCCACCTAATGACCACCTGATGATGTTAACAGAGAATTTATCATGGATTGTAAGCCTTGAAACAGAGATACAAAGAGAAGAGCAGAAATGGAGTTTATAAGCAAATATTTATTTCTTCATTCTTTTTGTGAGAATGTTTGAGTTTGTCTGACAATATGGGGGTTAGAGAAAGTTTTAAGGTTCAATCTATGAATTCGCTATTTAGCAATATAGGGTTGAATCAATAGAGGAAAACAAATATCACCAAAACTGCAGATACTTTTAACTGACGCGTCCCAACAGGCATGAAGACTAGGTTAAGCTGAACTCCCTTTAAAGTCACCTCTGCCAGTATTTAACGTTAGATATCTACACACCGCGTCGTTTCATCACGCCAAACATTACACTGTTTATTTTGATGTATGCTTGACAATGAATTGAGTAAACAGTTCAAAAGATATTCCCAACCTATTTTAGTAGTGTGATGTTTAGCAATTTTAACAAAAGTTTTCACGAGGCTTTCGTTAAATAGTCTGTGTTCAAGTGTCTGTATGTAGGGATTTGATTGGCTACAAGATTTCATCGTGAGCTGAAATCGGTTAGAGAACCACTGGAAAACTTGAGAGTACCGGACATACGTTTCGTCCTAGTTTGAGACTCTGAAACAATGCGTATCCATGGGTTCAAAGATAGAACGTTCCGGTTCCAGGAGGGGATAAGAAGACCATTAAACCACCCAGATCAGATCTTAATTCCAACGATATAGTGAACAAGAAAAATTAACTAAAGAAAATAAGTCTATATACTACTGAAGCCTTTATATTATATTAAACTGATATATTTTGTTTACCAGATAAAAGAAGGTTCCCTCAACAAACCGAGATTTCAGTGGATTTCACATGATACTCTTAATATTCAACTGCCTTCATTAATTGTTTCTGAAGAATCAAAGAAATCCATTGATTCTGTTTCAATATTTGTGGCGAAATCCGAAAATAAAGGTGAGGCTAAATTTTTAATATTGAGAAAAATTCACTGGGTACTAAGTGGTTCCTTCACAAGTATTGGTTAGGTGTTGAGTGACTAATTTCTAGCGGGATGATTAACTGACATGAGTTCGAGAACCGTTGCTTAGGCGAGAGAATTGAGCAGTTGTTTGGTCCTAGTTTGTGAATCTTCATCAATATTGACAGCTGCTTAATACTCTCAGGTTTCCAATAGTTTTCTGACTGACATCACTTTATGATCTAGTTCGGGAACTAAGCTGTGTATTGATAAGTACGCCATAAAAAAGGAATCATTATTTCTGTTAGAATTTCACAAACTTCTGTCATGGCTTAAAGACGACCCAGTAGTCAGTTACATGTATGTTACTGATTAAAAGTATGCTGATTACTGAGCGTTTAAACTGGTGATAGAAAACTTTGTATATGAATAGAGAGGTGTTTTTCCAGACATCTTCCCGTTGATGAATTTAAACAAAGTACAGGAAAGAGATGATACCATTTTATTTTGCTGGATGGCATCCACTGCATACAGCCTAAAACAATTTTAATACCAATATACAAAATATTCGCATATTTCAGTTGTATGGCATGGACATGAAGGCTGTTAACACTACATAAGCGAATAATCGGATGCAGAAGGGAAAAGGCGTTAGTAAGCTTGTTGGCAAAGATGGAAAGTTATAAGAGAATTCTATAGTTTAGAAAAGAATTTGGAAAGTAACTGGAGATGCACAACTGGCTACATATGTTATGTAAGAGTGAAACAGTTTAGTTAAGCATGGGTCAAAAACGCTCATATCACGAGTATAAATAAAGAAAGAAAAATGACAAGTATGAAATTACTTTATCAAAACTAAATATGATTAAAATAGTAATAATAATAATAACTTAAGTGACAAAATAAATTTTTTCACTATGGTTGAGTGAAATTAAAAACGTATTTTTCTGAATGGACAAGTTCGGTTTTAACCGTTTAATGGCTACTGCTTGATGGGTATGTGGCAAACTGTAACTAACCTGTAGTTTAATTATTTCAAATACTTTCGACCACTATCTGTCACAAGACACATGGTCGCACCTCTGAAGACCTCTTCACTTTTGAGTCTCACTTTTCTAGGAATGTGTTCCGATATGATGTGACATCTTTTTTCTGTTCGTCCCACTTATATGCAAAACATGTAGACTGGTATAAGTGGATCCAAGTGACATGAAAGGGGAACACATCAACCATGAATCGTTTCGTTGAGAAACATATTTTGTAAAATGTCGCCAACTTGACGGCTGAGTAAGTTCTCTTCAGTGAAGCGTTTGTTCTTTATTGGATTCTTATGGCCACTTAGTCACCTTTGAATCCAAGTTATGGGAAGACTAGTTTCTTCTCTACTGTGCCTGGTTTCACTTTATAATCAGCACTCTTTAAATTTACCAATAAACTTCTGAGAATACTCACTGTCTCGCCAACAATTTTCAACAGAGGCGAGTAACCGATTGTTTCTTTTTTAAATAAGAATTTTCAATGTGGTTAAGCAATTTCTTAACCAGATATCCTTGAAGTAAATTAAACAAAAACTTTTGAAATTTAAGTACAATCCATTCCGAAATGCTGTTACAGTAGATATTCCTCTGTATAATTGCACTCATAGTTTGTAGACTTCAAAAATCATTCACTCTGATGAGTTACACTACATGGATAGAGAATTTACTAGCTGATGAAAATGTTTTTATGTGATATCTCTTTTAATTCATTAAGATTTCGTGCTTTTAAACAAATTTTGAGCGGTTCTATTAATAGGTGTATTAATTACTGTTTTATACCTAGACAAAAGTGTCAAGCTGTTAAATATCAAAGTTCCAAAGAGCAGTGGTCAGATTATGGGACTAAATTCGGCGTACACTTATGATGCATACCTTCAGATTGACTGGGTGAATGGGACAACGGTGGACTGGTTACATATGAAAATAACATCAGTGGATTCTGTGAGCGATGAACACCTTACTGTCAAACGTAAGTTACCTATATCTTGTCGAAATGTGTCACTTCTTTAATTTTGGGTAACATTATGTTAAAAACTGACAACAAGGGGGAAAATAATAGTGAAATGGATTTATGGTTTTATAATAAGCCTAAATTACGAGTAAGGAATTCTTTCTTTTAGGCATAACGTTTGTCTTCATTCCACTTTAGATTTTCTTATTTGTTTATTTTGAAGATAGGTTTCTTTCCAGATTGGAATGAACAGTCAGTTCTTCAAACTTTTAACCACTATACAGCAGTTGATTCTTATTTTGGAATACATCAGCTATATAATAAGAGATGTAGGATACTGTGTTATGAAATGAGATTCTGTCAGTCATAATAATAGTAACACTTCACTCAGTTATTTATATCCAGTTACAACAAGTAGCCACCAATTATAATATTTAGTTCTACGAGTTGATCACGGATTGATATCAGTTAGAGAAGCATTGAAAACCAGGGAGTACTGGACAGCTGCTGTTTCATCCCAGTTTGGGAATCATCGAGAGCATGCACCCACTGGGATTCGAGCCCAGAACATTCCGGTTACAAGGCAAGCTCGTATATCATTCAGCCACTGGGACCCGATCCAATGGCCCGTGGCTGAGTTCTAGTGAGAAGTGAAGACCGGTGAGGTCCAATTGGATGTCGCGTGTGTGGATGGATGTCCCACCGACGACAATGGTTGGGGTCGCGCTAAATCACGAATTGGTAGAAGTTAGAATTCACGAGCCACTGAATCGGGTCCCAGTGGCTGAATGATATACGAGCTTGCCTTGTAACCGGAATGTTCTGGGCTCGAATCCCAGCGGGTGCATACTCTCGATGATTCCTAAACTGGGATGAAACAGCAGCTGTCCAGTACTCCCTGGTTTTCAATGCTTCTCTAACTGATATCAATCCGTGATCAACTCGTAAAACATAACTAATCCTTACAAACCAAACTATAGAAAATATTTAGTTGTCTTCAAAAAGTTAATTTGGCCTATAGAGAGATAAAACTGAACTCATTTTGAATTCAAAGCTCCAGTGTGAACAGCCTTTGCCCTCCATATTTTAGCGATAGAGAAAATCATTGCTACGACAATTATTTCAAGTTGGAAACGGTGATTAAAGTTGTGTCGCATTCAAGAAGAAATATATTCACGTAAATCCTTAACGGATTTTAATTCGCGTTATTAGGATTTCTAATTTTCTTTCCTAAAACCAAACAGAGATTGCTTTTCTTGTTTCGTTTTGGAAATTTCACCCCCCCCCCTTTCATAAGAACGTACATTTATCAATTTTGCGTGATTGATTGTTTAATCAACTTCTTGTATTAAAAACTATGGTGTAAAGCCTTATCTAAATATTTTAGTGACAGATTTGTTTGTCTATATTTGAGAAAGAATAAATTTGTAATGAAATTTTTCCACTAACTGCCTTTCTTATCTTAATAACTTTTAAATGTCTGCGCCTTCTGATTGATGAATTTACCGTCTTGAATTTCAGAAAAAACAAAATTATTTCGCATTAAATACTTAACCGGAATTTTACTAACCGCTAATTTTGGTGCCTTATTATAATATACTTAACATATTTATCATCGTGTCTGTTGCGTGTTATTTAAAACTGTAGAATTCCATTACATTTCGACATATGAAAACGTCTAGAGATCGCATCAAACGAAAGTGTGTTGGGGTAACCCACTCGCTGACGAGTCATTCAGATATGTCGGAAACGTGTAGTCTAAACGTGGAAAAGCTCTACAAAGGTATTTAAATGACGCAATCAAATGTCAAATTGCTTCATCTAACAGTCATAGCTGTTTTCTGCTAAATATAGACTAAATAAGATGGTTTAACTTGGCTTAAATCCTCTATTTGTAAAGTAATTCGTCTAAACGCAAGAGAGATTCCGTATAATTAATTTTTTACAGGTATCAGTGACGTCTAGAAGTTTGTTAATATAACCTTTAGACAATCAAATGGGATAAATAACATTTCGATACAGTACTAAATATTTCAGCAACTCGTGACTAGGTTAGAAAGTAAAACAAACTGATAGTATACCATTTTTCATTAAAATTTTCATAGTTTTACTGACGAACTAATGATGCCAATTATTAAGTTACAAAGATAACTTTGTTTCCCCCAGACAAAGCGTAGAATTTTCTATTTTTAAGTGATAGACGAAACCATATCACTACTGTTGATCCTTTTAATCTTTTTAGTAATAGCTTTCTCTGTCACGACAACACCAAAGCCCAATAGTGTATTCAGAAATATAAAAGGTAAGCTTTAAGAATATATATTCTCACTCGAAATCGTTTAAGCGACTGTAGCAAGCGTGCAGATAATTAAATTAATCTATAAAATGCACAAAGGTGACATATGTTCCGCTGTTTTTGTAGGGAAGGGAAATTTAAATAAAATGTAGACAGAAGAAATTATATACAAGTCCCATACAGATGTATAGTATCACATCTGCAGTTAATTCATATAGCTATCACTTTAAAAGCCTTAAATTACTTGTAGATTAGGCGTCATATTATTTTATATTGACATATAAATTTCAGTTAAAATCGTGTAAAAATCAGCCTAGACGAATATATTTCAATTCTATTTGTCAATGTTACATGTGAAGTGACAAAATAAGAGAAGATTTAATTACGAGATACTATTGTACATTCCTATCAACTGGAAACACTCTGTGGGCAAGTATGCAAGCATCAGATTTATATTTCCACAATTTCGGGCTTTGTAAAGTTCACGAAAAATTCAGGAAGAAAATTCGAGTAGTCAATTTCCATTTCGTATGTTTAGGAAACAGATGATTCCTGAAAATACACCCGCTACCGAAACTCCCATTTCGTGTAATATGTATAACAGAGCACAGGTTTCCCATGAATATATGTCACCAACTCAAGAGAAAAGTAATGCGTTTTATTTATTTAACTGGCATGAAGGAGGAAAGTCGAAGGCATGCATATATAAGATGTATTATAACTTCAGTGTAGTACACAGCTTTGTTGAATAAATTTGCTCAACATACTGATCAAATGTGTACAAACATGCTTATCTATGCAGCTATTTGTAAAAGCATTTTTTAAGACGAATTTCATAATTATCAAGTCAAACGACTAAGCAGTAATATTTCTCCTAAAGATTGCTTTAATTATCTATAGCTTCGTGACTTTTGTATATTTTCTGCTTTATTTATTCACTGTTGTTCCATCTGCACGGATATAATCAGATGCTGTTATTGTTTATTTCCGATACTGCAGATGGCGCTTTAATTTCAGTCAAAAATAATAACCAAGTGAACGTATATACTTTGAACAATTTATTCACCCCAATCATTTCAATTCCAGTGAACTTAACACAAAGAATTATAGGTGAGTCGGATTTATATTTCTATTTTGTTTTGAAGTTCAGAAGTAATTTGATTAAATAGTCTATATTTACTTCATGATTTGTTTTTCTTTTTGGAGAATTTATAAGCCATGAAATAGCAGAGTGGAGAAATAGTGTTTTTTTTGTGTACTAATATAGGTAAATTTATTTAACACCAGAATCGATTGGCAAACATTCAAAGGCTGTAACAACAGGCAGTGAAGTCATCTGTCTATGTACTTAATCTCTGTTTTCTATATTGTAAAATTAGTTCATCTAATAAAACATGTGATCATATCGTGATGTTAACTAGATTACATGTCACATAAAATTTATTTTTCATAATCGCATCAGAAGTAAGGTTTAGCGCTAGACCCTCTAGTGGAATCCTAATGAGAAGCGACGAGTGATTTGTCAGTGCGAGGTTGACATGGAGGAGATCATGTGAAGAGGACATGAGAGATCACAGGCTATTGTCGATCCATCTGAAGAAGACAGCAGAGAATTGAAGAAAGTGGAAATGTGTTGTCAAAGCCGTATTTTACACTCGAAACCCAAGGGAATAATAATACTGTAATAGTGTTCTACACGAAATTTTACTCTTCAGGCTACTTACAACTATACCTGTCTTTATGACTTAGGTGCATATATCACCCTGAAAAGTATTATTGTTAGGTTGACTTCATGGATATTTAGTTTTCCTCGCATTTTTAGTAAACTGTTTTCAGGGTGGAAGTCACCACGAATTAGTAATGGCTAGAAAACCACAGGAAGTCCTATTTTCAAAAGTTCGAAACTATAATTAAGTTAAACAAAATGATAAAATGGAAAGACCCTTGATGCATGCATCTAGGCAGTTTGCTAGGCATTCTTAAGATGACAGCGTTGACTTAAAAGCCAATAGTTTATTCAGTGAGGGTAACGTCTGAAGTCATCTGAGATAATAGTCATAATTTTATTTTCGTCAATGGTTAACAAATTTGGTTGGCCCATCTATTTAAGTAAGTACATCTTGATTGGAAATAATACAAACATCGAGTGAAAAGCTACTGTCTTTGTATGTCAGAAGCAATCTTAATGAATACCTTGAAAGTCTTTATTTTTTCTGACATTCCGATACCTGGTTTACTTAGGAGTTATAGTTTTAGGATGAGAATATGTTTGGAAATACGCTTGTAACAAACAGTTGATTACTGTCATTGACAGAATAGCGGTTGAATTTCAATGATAGAGACAGTCTAACACATAAATGTGTTTTTTCTAACATTTCAGAAATTCTGTCTTCACTAACAATCACTCTTTCTCTCTCTTGAAATAAAATCTTCCGTGTGGATGTCTGAAGAAATTTTAAGACCATGACAAACTTTTTTTTACTAAAGTGATGCAGTTAATTTATTTCCTCACTAAACACCAAGAATTGGCAGAAGTTAGAATTCATGGGCCATTGGATTGGGTCTCAGTGGCTTAATGGTCTAGGAGGTCGCCTTGTAACCAGAAGGTTCTGGGTTCGAACTCCGGTGGGTGTGTACTGATGAAGGGTTCAAAACTAGGACGAAACAGCTGTCCAGTACTCCCTGCATGTTTTCCATTGGTTCTCTAACTAATGTCAGCTCATGATGAAATCCCATAACCAATAAACACCATTAACTTGACTGCCTACATTTGGGGGTTTTTTCGTTCAGTTTTCTATTTCAGTTAGGTGTAGTCGTATTTCAGTTGTTTGAGTACTTTGGTATGATTGTGAGTAATAATTTGTGCTCGAAACGTCATTAGTAAATATTACTGTATATCACTACAATTTTATCAAAATAAGATTTTTATCCATAGTGGAGTTATACTCTACTACAGTGACCAAGTTTTATCCTTATATCAGTTTTCCAGATTTATTAGTAATTATTTTCGAGTCTCAAGAAAAATTATTTTAAATGTGAAACGTATGAAATTTTCTTATATGAACTTAGCACTGGGTCTCAGTGACGAATATGTAAACTTGTCTCTTTTAGGTTAAACCACACAAAAATGCGTTTTTACTTTTCATATACCTCGTTATTAATAAGGTTTCGTTGTTTCCAGTTTCCTAAGAAGAGTACAAAACGTTCAACATATAAGAAAAAAGAATTGTAGGGAAATTCAAACAAAATCTTCGGGTTGACTAGATGACTGTTAAAATTAGTTTGAAAAATAGAGAGTGATGTTAGATACAGCAGATGGAATACTCAAAATCGTGGATCATAATAGCTGTCATCTTACGCAGCTAACACACTAGATGAGTTCGAGAGAGAATCATCAGAATCTTACTCAGATTAATGAACGGAGTATATAGAGCTTATCTCACTTGATAGACTAAGCTTAACAAGACTGCTTATCCAACTAAAAGCAGTGGGTGACTGAAAAATAGTACATAGGGGAAGAAATTCTTGTTTGAATTTCGAGTTTAGAACAAATGAACATAGTAACGTGCATAAGGGACCCCCAAAACATCCACTAGAATTTGAAAACTGCGAAAAGCGCTTATCTACAGCTCTACATACTATATAATTAGGTGATAAAATCAATTTCTATAACGCTGAAATTATTCAGAAAGTGTCAGCACTATTGGGAGATGAGTAATCCAAGGTGTTTTCATAAGGATCAGAGTCAAAACTGGCAGTATAGGAAGTATTTGATTTCACTCCATCTGATGAACCAGTTTCATCAATGCACATACACACAATAATAACTGAACTTAAGCAAAAACATCAGGCAACATCTACAATTATTGTATTTATCACCTCTAATATGCACATTTTCGCATTTTTCATATTTATTTTAAACTATTTAAAATCCCCAACATATTCATATAAAAGAACCTGGACTGAGTTAAAGTATGCAAAAATTGTTTTACTGCTACTACTATTTGTTCATGAGTTTTGTTCTGTGATTCGGAACTGTTAAATTAAAGAATAAATAGACTTTCAACATAATTCCTTCATCTTATGCTTATGGATGAGTATGAAAGGAACTTTCGGTTCTGAGACATTTCTTCTTGAGACCATTGTAACTCTTTATTTTCCGCCGATGGGCTATGGTGTCAAATTACCGATTTCGTTCCTTTCACTCAAATGTTTTCCTTCAAATTTTTGGTCTGTTTTTCGATTTGTATATTTTTGGATTATAGAACACCTCTGACTTGACTATTTTAAAAGCCTAGGCTAAGATTTTACAGTCTCTAATCTTCATTGATATAAGAACAAAAATTATCTCATGCTCTGAAATTTAATTCCTCCACCCTTATTGCTTATTTTGGGGATTTTTTCGATAATCCTGTATATCACTGTGTCACACTGTCTGTTACATTAAATGAATCGGTGTGTTATAGAATTGTTCATTGGTATAGCGCTCAGGATTTAAATTTGGATTAAGATATTCAACCTTTGAATAGCAATATAGTTCTGTGCTTACATATCAGCTGAATGATGAAAAACTGACTGATTTAACAAATTACTTCTTAGTGTTAAAAAAGAGCTGAATGGAAAATTCGCATAGTGTTATTCAATGGATTGAATATTCCTAATCCATGATTGGTAACAGGCGTAATATTCAGACCAACAATTTTACCAGTACTCTTATTCATCAAAGTTGTTATATCATGACTTTGTCTTCTTATGTTCAGTGGTTCATATTTAGGCCAATAAAATGAATTCAGAGATATTAGCGAAACCGAATGGTGTATACTAGATTTAGATAACTGTGAGGTAGGGGGGCACTAATCTAGCTCCATTTAGTATTAGTATATATCAAAAATTGAATTGACTATATGCTGTTAATTTCTATCTGTAACAGCGTAAATACGGAAGCATATGAAAATTCACTAATACTATATTTTAATGAATTTGCGATTATGTCATCTGTATTTTTTCAGGACACTGTCTATTTTCTTAAATAGAATAAAATAAAGCGTCAGACAGAAGTTTGAATAGTGTGAGCAATGAAGACAACAAGACGTTTGACGAAGTCTGAAAAGACCTTAATTAAAGCTAACTTGATAATCCTATACATTAAAGGGTCGGTCATTTTTACGGCGCTCATCAGAAGAGAAATGGGTTGATATATATTCACATAGATCAAAAAAACTATAACAATCTTATTTAGTTTTTGTAATCCATGCACTGGCTATTTTCTTAACTCTGAATGTTATCACAATACGAAACTATATTGAAAATGACATTTTATCGTCTTATTATCTACTTTTTCTTCATTTCTAATAAAGTAACAAGTTTTGCAGATGAACTGGTAAGTAAGATATTTGACGACTGTAGTCAACCATTCAAATCGCCTCTAAATTTGTGTTGCTAAAATGAAAATATGACTAACTGTAAACTGAGTCACAGTATGAATGGTTCATCCCACATGTTTCGTTTGTGTTAAATAAGTTTGAAATCTGGAAAAGTACTCATTAGGATTATAAACAGACAAAAAAGATGAAATTCAGCAAATATATCAATTCACTGATTTCATCCTCAAAAGCTGCACAATCACATTTGTATATATCACTTCGAACATTTACAGTTATTAATTTCAACAAGACTAAAGGAGATAATAATGTTCAATTTGACATGAAAAATTGAAAATATGATAACAGATGAATACAGCTTACATAAAGCATATAAACCAAATAACAGAGGATTAGCGGTGCAGTCTGTAAAACAGTTTTCAACAAAGATTAGGATATATGGGATATGCATAGAAGAAAATTGAGATAACTTTGTTGTAACAGAGGATGAGAAAATGGAGGGGATCATAAACAACTAGGGAGCTAAACATAACTAAACCCGTGGTAAGTATAGAGGTTGGATTAAGTTTCTTCTGAATAAATATTTCCTGCTTCTCGACGCATTCAGTTAGGGCTTCCAAAGTAGAAAAATAGTCGGAAACACGCTGCATTTGTTAGATGTGTGCTTAGTATGTAAATGACTCTGAATGATGATTTTGTGGAGATGTTAAGACAGATTTTGATGCGGTCTTCAGTTATATCACTTCAAAATGAACCAATGCCTCTTCTTTGCAAACATGTTGGCAGTG